TTCACAATAATGTACTTGCCATTTCCAAGCTGATCGCCAAGTTGAACAGGATGAAACATACCCTCTTCGTAGTCCATGTACGGCTCTTCAGGCTCCTCATTGTCCCAGTACTGATACGAAAGATTGTCTCGTTGTTCTTCGGTCAACGGTTGACTTTGTTGCTCAGCTACGACGGCTTTGATGTACTTGATGACTGCAGTTTTAGATTCTCGATTGAGGTGGAAGAGGTCCCATATGAGCCCCATGTCGAAAAGCTTGATGTCAAAGTTTGGAGAATGCGATTTTGTCGTTGAATATTTTCTCAGTGGTAGAATGGGTAAAGTAGACATAAAAGATGAACACTGGCAAGCGATTGAAGCGAACAACATAAACGGGTGTCCTGGGGTTTATGACATAGATTCCAAGTAAAGTGACCGAAGGCAACAGAATGACTACGACAAGGAGTGCCGACCTCAAACATGTGCGTGATAATACTGTCAAAGCGGGCACAAAGACGGACTGTTTGTTGCTGCTAATATCCCTAGGCCTAAGGCCCCCGCGTTATTCTATATCTTTAGCACAATGGACTGAAAGCGCGGGTGTGAATGTGTGAAAATAGAAACAAGGAGCAATGTCTCACGTAGAAAGATAAGGCAGGGCAAAGCACTGTGGCCAACAGACTGCATTAGGTGGCTTTCAATCTGGGTGTTTAGACCGATCAAAGTAAGACACTCTAAGTTTCAAGATATTAGCGAAACAAAAGGACGAATGCGACTTCTGGTGGCCGATTTATGAATGGGTTATCATCAATACATGTATACAAAACATCTACCACAACATCGTCCTCACTGAAAGGCACTGCATTTGTGATTATCTGAAATTTAACAATGAAAATTTAGCTACAGATTCTATACAGAAGGCGTGAGAAGGAGTCGTTGTCGGCAAGCCAGAGACCTTCTTTCATCTTCTTGGATATGAAACTTAGTGGTCTCTAATTCCGATCGATCATCTTTATTAGCATTTCAGGACTACCTAACTATCCTAGAACAGCCTTTCTTAGTCTCTACAGAATACAGATGATACTGAAGAATAACTATAAGTCTCAATTATTGCTCGTAGTTCCAAGTACTTTCTTATTATAGAGCATCACGCACATTGACACTCCACCAACGGTAATTGCAGCAGCCAGGCTACAAACACCACAAATTTAAGACTAAAAGAAAACCAACACAATGTCAGGTATCAGTCCTCCCAAGGGATATGTTGAAGTGATCTGGAAAATCAACAAACCGGGTCTTTTGAATAGTCAACATCCTCTTGATTTACTCAAAGCTCACTGGAAGACAGCACTCTTGAATCAAAATCAAGTGCGATCTCTTCTCATCAAGTATGTGCATTTTTACTTCAGAATTGTCTATCCCTGATTTAAACCTTTGCTCATGACTGCTTTCTTTAGTTTAGGTCTCATTTGCACAAAACAACCAAAGCCGGCTTTCGGCCAAGTGGTAAGCCTGCTTACAGAACGGATAGATGGCATGTGACCACGTCGTACAAGGTAAATGATACAATGTTTCGCACAGCACATGGGTACACCACTGGCGAACATGACTTCAATCCAAACTCCTCAACCCTGACAAACCGACGACCACAGCTGGTTGGCTACATAGGCAGCGATGGCACACAACCTTGGCCATCCGAAGATCTCAATCCCAAAAAGCACAGGAAAGAATGACATACTGAAGCAGAACCGCACAGACTATTCAGAGATGGCAAAGAAAAGTTTCAACCGACGCCAATATCTCCAGATCGCTGTGCTGAAATCCTGTGAGCAGTCGCGGCCTAGGAGATATAGCAAGTCAGTAAAGAGCGGCTTCAGAGGAGCACGTCGATCGAAAGTATACCATGACGAGGAAAAAAGGGTGAAAAGGTAAGCTGGCTGTTTGGTAAGAAATGGTCGACACTGAGGTAGGGCTATTGGTCTATATCCATAGGGGACCGTGCCCGTAGGCGGCAGACGCAGAGCATCTCAACATTGTAGAATTTATCGTGTTTTCCATCTGACATGGGATTGTGTTCTAATCTAATAAATGTCTCAGAAGCTGAGGTGTAAACTCACGATTGCGCTGTCAAGTACACGGCGCAACAATCACTCTGTCCGAAAGAGATTTCAATTTCATCTACTGGGGCTAGGGCCTTGCCTAAACAGAACAATATGGCCCCAAACCAAGCGCTTTTCATTCATCACTTGGATTCATTACGCAAACTAAGTTGAAAACAGTAAATGGTTGCTGCATTGTCAGAACTGTGAGATCTATCCAATCTAGCCACGCTCGATTCTGCGAGCATGTGCTGGAGGGGCATCTAAATCAGCCCCATCCAGCCTGATGGGCTACCCTTTGCTGAAGCCTTTGCTAGAACCACCACCATGATCTTGTCTCGAGCAACTGGAGCTAGCGTCACGTCTGAACCCTGTTTTGCGGGGGGCTTTGAAGTTTTCGTTCTGAACCTGAATGAGAATACCGACTCTCCTTCTACAGACCGGGACTGTCTCTGTATGTCGATGCAACTTAGATGGAGTGTTTGTGCATCAACGGTGACCTCAATTTCCGGCAAATCTTTCATTGGCTCACGCATTGCCACGGATCCTTCGACAAGAATGTCAGCAAACAGCGAGTTGGTGTCATCAGATGCTGGCACCGTCGTGAACGTGCCTATAATCAGCTTTGGTCTTAGTGATCTGGTTTTCTCGTTGTATGAAAGTTGAATAAGATCAGATTCAAGATATGGCGTATGTAGCGGGGGAATGCGGTGTTTTGTTTTGATTTCGAAAGCGTTCGCCCATCTCAGAAGTTGGACATCATCATAAGCTCTGCCAGCGAATGTGAGGTTCATGGGCACACGCTTGTCTCTCAGGATGCCCATGGGAACTGAGACGGTAGGTATGCCGAGATGTCGAATGGCTCTGTTTCCGTTGCTGTAGTGGACGCCATTCTGCCAAGCCAGCGATGCCCCCTCAAAGTCTGAGTCTGCGTTGGCAGGTCCCACATCGCCAGCAGCGGGAAAGACAACGCAATCGCAGCCGACTTCCGTGAGCCAGTCCTCAAGAAGAACCTTTCGCATGCCCTCTAAAGCTTTGAGAGCTTGATCCAGACCTTCTACATCAAAAATACTCCCTTTGCTGGCGTATTCGGCCAGCCGATGGTACTGAATCGCGTTAGGCTTCTCGAAGTGTTGTAGTTCCGGCCCAGTCCTCATACTATCTGGATAGATCCTCGATGCGTCCACTGCAGAGATATCCGGGAGCTTTGAATCATTGAAGTCTCGAAGGAAGTTGTTCCAAGTATGTGCTACTAATGCTCCTCTCTCAGTAGCATGCCAGTCCGCCGGCCGTCGCGGACATCTCTCCGGCAGAAGGTTATCATTTTCGTAAGCTGTCAAAGGCGGAAAGTCGGAAACCATGACAATCTTCGCGCCAAGTGACTCAAGATCCTTTCGTGCTTGCTTCCACAATTCAATAACTGCCGGGCTCGTCTGAATAGGCTTTGCTCCTTCGGGAACCGGTCCACCAAGGAAGATTTCTGGCACAGCAATAACCAGTCCAGACAATGAGTCTGACGAGCCAAGGGTTTTGAAGCTCTCAGGCCGGTCCTCCCAAGATTGCGGTAACTGGACGCTTCTCTGCTCTCGCCAGAGATCGCCTTTGGCAACTGGATCAGGTGCAGTAATAACATCCAGAAGAGTTAACATATCCTTCATGCTTCTTGTATGAGGCACTGGTACGTCGCATGTTGGATACAAAGGCCAACTGCCGCGATTTGATAGAAAGGTCCTCGAGGGAGTGTAAGCGATAAGGGCATTGTTGGAAGCAGGCGATCTGCCAGATGAGACCGTCTCGCCTCCAAGCCCAAAAGCTGCGAACGATGCTGCTGTAGAAACAGCCGATCCGTTGGATGAACCTGAAGCAAATGCTGCAGCCAGATAGTCTGGGTTGTAAGGATTCTCGGCCCTTCCCCAGATGCCCCTCTGCATGCCGCCGCAAGCCATTGCAGGCATGTTTGTCCGGCCAATGAGCACCCCGCCAGCATCTTGAATGAGCTTCACAAGAAAAGCGTCTTCGTTGGAAATTAGATGTTCGAAAGCAGGAGATCCTGCAGCTGCTACCATTCCTTTGACTTTGTAGCTGTCTTTGACCGTATAAGGTATCCCTTCCAGGGGCCTGACTTTCTCGCCAGATGCCCTTCGGTCATCAGACTTGGCAGCTTGTTCGAAAAGGTCATTGTTAAGGATCGGAATCGAATTTAGGGTAGGGCCTCGACAGTCGTAAGTGCTGATCCGGCGAAGCAAACGCGTTACAGGCTCGACGCTGGTAATTGAACCGCTGTTCAAAGCATTCTGTAATTCTTCGATTGAGGCTTCGACGATATTGAGTACGGCCATGATTGCTGATAGGATGACGATGAAGATAAGGAGAATGATATTGAAGACAAAGACCTGTCCAGAGAGCATAAAGATAAATGCACCTCACATTGTACCGAGCCCAAAGTCCACGATAAACTCACATTCTCCTATCTGGTCGGCCGGCTGTCTCCAGTTTTGATATGCAGGCCCGATAGGCCAGCCGGATGAATCCGGGGTTTGCGACCTTGTCGTAATTCGTTGCTGCGGCTTACAAGTGGATTTTCCCAGCTGGCTAATGTTCCCCCACTCGCGAAATCCCGCACGTTAGCTAAAGTCCGTTGGGGGAATAGTTAATCGGATCTTTGCCGATAGGTAGGATGATGATCCTCTGAACATCACTTTCCAGAACGTGGTAAAGAGCTCATGCCCATGATTGTGTTCAACGCCTGGATGGCCTCATCAGCTCAAATTGCCATGTCAATCCACCTGACGTGTGGGATATCAGAATATTGACAGACTTTAAGGAGATGGGTCTCGGCCTACAATTGTGAATATTATTGAAGGATCAATGATTTGAGGTTGGCTTTCTCTGCTAGTAATGAAAAGTCTACAGCAGGACTACTTCAAGTGAAAAATCGAAATTTGGGCGATTTCTCGCCGTCATGCAGCTCTGATGTATCGACATCCTGAGCTTGAAGGTTGACACCCTGGGCCTTGTTCCTTCGCCGGTTCTCCAATTTCATCCAGCCGCCGAGGATCAACGCCGATGCCATCGCCAACACGTTGCAGCAGCAGGTAACAATGAGAGTAGGAATGTACTTGGGTGCATATTCGGTCCGGAATGTTGCAGCCGATAAGATTCCAGCAAAGTTACCCAGACCTACAAGCAAACCTGTCGTGGCAGCGCGGCTGTTCTCGTTCAAATTGTTGTTATTGTGCCATGATTGAACCAGGCATGAAGGTGTATACGCCCCTGCAGCCATGAGGAAGCAGGCAAAGTAAGCCAGTTCACGGTTTTCCAAAACGTCGATTGCGATGAGAATGACCATGCCGACTAAAGAGGTTGCCAAGGCACCGACGATGTGAAACGTCCGTTCGTGGAAGTAGTCGGAGGAGTATGCTGTTGCCAGAAGTACCACAAAACCAACAGCGTTTGGGGCAACGGTCCAGAGATTCGTTTTGACGACGCTGTAGCCGAGACGCTGTACAATCTGGGGCAAAAAGTTGGACGTCGTGGCAAAGGCGACGGGATAGTTAAACGCGATGGAAAGCCAGAAAACAAATTTCCAATCCTTCCATAGCGTAAAACACTCTTTCCAGTCAAACTTGGAGTCCACTTTATTGGAGCCATCGCGAAGGGTCCTGGCTAGAGCTGCGGCCTTCTCTCTGTCGTTGAGAAACCAGGCGGTTGCTGGAGAAGCTGGCAGCCACCAAAAGGCTACGACACCGACGAGTACGGTCAGAACGCCTTCAATGAGCATAAGCCATTGCCAGCCTTGGAGTTTAGTGCCTTCGATCTGGAAGACACCATAGGAAATGAGGCCGCTGAAGGCTGCGGCCAGGAGAGCGCTGCCGAAGAAGATGGCGACGCGAAAGCCGAGCTCGGATCGCTTGTAGAATAATGTGAAGTAGAACACTACGCCGGCGAAGAAGCCGGCTTCGCATGCGCCGAGAATCAGTCGGAGTACCAGGATCCCAGCGAAGTTCTTCGATGCGATTTGGACGGTTGCGATGCCGCCCCAGACCACCATCAGCGTCGGTAAGACCCATCTTGCAGAGAACTTCTTTGTGAGGAGATTGAGCGGAAGATCCAAGGTTCCGAAAGGGATGTAGAAGAGAAGAATGAGCAGACTGTACTCGTTCCCTTTGAAGTTGAGATCTTTCTCAATTCCGTCGGTTTTGGCGTTGCCCAAGTTGGAGCGGTCGACCGCATTGAAGAAGTACATAAGAGAGAGATACGGCAACAGGTAGAAGTCAAGCTTTCTCACTAAAAGCGGCATAATGTCAGCGTCAACCCAAACGATGATGTCCTTGACAAGAGCTTACCATAAGATCGCTCCCCTTCAGGGTCAACCACCACGCTGCTGCCATTCTGAGGGGAATGCAGTGAAGAGGCCTCGACGTCATCAGAGGATTCGCGCTTAAGGTCCTCGTCAGATTTGGCTGGTGTTTCGCTTTCGATCGCCATTGTTGTCGATATTGGACGGTAAGCTCAATGTGTTTCTGAAGTGCGATAGTGCCCCTGCCACCTTCGGATGTGCGCAATACGTCTGGTAAGACCAAACACCGACTGGTATGACCTCCAAATTGCTTCCTTGAAGGCTTGATATAAGGTGCTCATCTTCACCCACTCTTGCGCCGAGAATGGGGGTGATTATGCACCCTGCAGCTCAATGGGGGCATCCTTGTGATTGGAGCATGCATCGGGGAAAGTTGCACATCAGCCATATCTTATCTTGAGCGTGCAGCAAGTTGTATCTTATCAAATTCGAATGTCCGGGCTGCAACCAACAACTCCGGCATCGTTAGCCGACACGCCCTACTACTACCCGAAGGATCATACTACGTCCATTGTCTACTTGTACCCTTATTGCCGATCACTCCCTTATCTTGTCTCGTGATATTAGTCACCAATACCCTTTTTCGATGGCAGCCAATTGGCTTGATGAGCTCCTCGGGAATTAGTAGTATCCTACCTACGAATGGTGGTTTTCAACGAGATGAGGGCACTTGAGCGTAGAGGTTCCTTTCAGTGATTGAGTTCAAGTCCATGATTACATGAATCTCGAGGCAGCAGCCATCACTAAAAAACCAGGCTGCAGGCGCCGAGGCTTGGACAAAGGAAATAATTCAAATCAATGAGGTCTGATCTCATGTCTTTCCATGAGCTTTGGGCAAGGTTACTTACACTGGGTACTTTGTTGGTAAACTAATACTTGCAATTCTACGTGCAGAACTTGCACACCTGCAGCTTGGGGTTCTATTCGATTTTTTCAGCCACTCTTTAAATGCTTTGTGTTTTTCTTTTAAAGTAAAATAGGCAACATCGTCAAGCGTAGTGTTCGGTGACTCTAGGAAGAGTCACCTATCGTTACTGTCTGATTTGGCGCATGATGCCCTCAAGCCGTGCCAAAGTCAACGCTGTCTGAGCCTTTGCTGTAAAATGAAGTCACTCTTGTACTCTACCAACTGCCATTGACAGGACGGTCCAAGTCACTTTTGGAAGCTTTTCATAGGTGAACATCAAGCGTAGAGCTATAATGAGCAGGCGGGAAATAGGCACGGCCTTAAACGTCCGTGACTATTACATGATTTGCATCCTTAACACCCAACGTAGGGCGTCTGATCCACACCCGACATGTAGGTCTCAGCGATGCAAAACACCAACTGTAGCCCCAGTCAAGGCTTCTCAAAAGAACAAGTGAGTAGTGAGCCGTACCGATATAGACTTCAAGCGATTAGCTAGACGTATCTTGTTGCGGAGTACCTTTGGGGGCTAACCAGTAGTTTTACTGAGTAGGTAAGTATCCACAGCACTACGGGCTAGGGACAGGGTTACAGCAAACCCATCTCCGCTTCCACGAGCATCGTCAAATCAGCATATCTGAGGGCTTGCCCTGATACCTCAAGCTCCATATTCACAAATTTTCGCCGCCAACCTCAACAATCACAGGTTCTTCGACCATGAAATCATGGAAGGGTGGCCGAGTTGGTTATGGCGCCAGGTTAAGGTCAGCTTAACATCTGTTTCCTGGTGGGGCAACCCGCGCGAGTTCGAGTCTCGTCCCTTTCAAATACCTTTTGCGCTACGGCCTGAAGAGGTTGCAGGTCACCTTTTTGGTCTTGTAACATAAGAGCTCGTCGTGACCCTTGAGGACTAGGAGTTCATTATGTGCCTTATGATCGTGTGCCAACGGCCTGTGTATGAAAGTCCATGCGTAATGTTGATGAATCACCTATCTAGCCGTGTGTGGCTTGCTGGAAAGATGGGTGTTGTTGAGGGTGAGCACGTGGTGAGACATCTGATCTCATCTCATCCGGGTTATCTAAGCTTAAAGCGCCTCACCTCGGTGAAGAAATTTAGAGTTGTCGGTCAACCAGAAATGCCGCGGCGTTTATCCCATTTACGTCAGGCGGCACGAGCGTGGCAGTGCAAGCTGCTGATCGGATCGCGTTAGTGTTAAGTCAGATCGAGTCAGGGGACATGTGTAGATAAACCCCTCACTGGGAGGCAGCCCGAGCGCATAATTGCATGCGACATTATCATATTCTTCTTTGAACAAGTCGACAACATGCAGACCACTGATCTTTAACACGACAGCTTGGGACCAACGCGGGGAGCTGCATCGGCTAGGATTGTGGGTGGCTGGGCAAACAGGAAACATAACGAAGAGGGTGTCCCGGACGACCTTAGTGTGACTGAGCACTGTAAACAAGACGTTCTCTCATCATTACAACTCCCCCAACGTCAGATGGAAGAAGGAGAGGGCCCCCGAACCCCGGATTTGATTGACTGGACTCGACCACTGTCACCATGGGGTGATGGAGATTCGATGACGCGTGCCGCCAACGCCAACGACGAGCCCGATTTAGAGGCAGAGCAGCATGTCTCTGTCAGCGCCACCGCCAGCGTGAGCGTGAGCACTGAGGTGCCGCCCTCCGTGTATTTTACGATACACCGGTAAGTTTGAGGGTTTTTGCTGCCCCCATATCGGAATACCCGTAGCTGATGGAGGAAAAAAAACAGAATCAGGCGACTTGTACTTGCAAGCATTGGTATGAGTAGCCGTTATTTCAATTGCCGATTTCCACTAACAATAATCCCAGATGACCCCTACACCCTAGATCAGCTCCGTGAGCCTAGGATGAACTCATTGGTTGTCCGACCTCTGGTAGATCGCCTATACGATCCTGACGATCCAACGGTCGGTATGTTTATTGCTTGTAAACTTTGATCTAGCCAAGACGGCAGAGCTGATCCGTAAAAGTGTACTGCCTCCTCGCCAATCGGATTCAGTTTCTCAGACAACACATCAGCACCGCTCATCATACTGTTAATGTTGCGCGTGCGATTCTCTGCGAACTCGTCGCAAGTCGAGTACTACGTCGATATCACGAAGACCACCCAGGCCAGATAGGCTTACTCATCCTGGCACATATCCTCGTCGAAGGGTTCGACCCATTCCAAGGTGCTCCCGAGGAAGTTGAGAGCGAATGCAGGCAAGCCCAGTGGCCTATTCAGCGTCGAGACGGCCATGAGAGAAAGCTCACGACTTTGGAACTGGCCATCATTTCCGAAAGCAAACTCTTCCTGAGTTCTTCAGCCTGCCAAAGGCTCGTCGACGCGGTTTGGCAAGGGGTCGTCACTTATACCCCCCTGTCGTTTGTCGACATCCTCCCGGATCATTACGAGTATGCCTCGGTTTCGCTATACGAGCCACATAGGGCACCGTTACTAGACGATAGACGCCTCATCGTACCGTGGATCAGACAGGTGACTGAGCTATTCCAGTTCGTCACTCTCGTCGGCCTGTATCTCTTGACAATGGTATACCGGAGTAGCCCTACGATCAGTGGATGGGAATGTCTGTTTGCCGTCTACACGGCCGGGTGGACTCTTAACGAGTTCGCGGCAATCATTGAGCATGGCTGGGCAGTCCACTCACAGACTCTGTGGTCTTTTCTTGATATCACGTTCAGCTTCATATTCAGCTGCTACATCTTCGCTCGGTTGTATGATGTCTTGGCGTATGGTGGCGTCATCGCTGACGGCTACGGGGTGCATATTCTCTGCTTGGCAGCTCCTGTACTACTTACCCGCGTGGCCTTTACGATCATGCCGGACAATATTGTTTTCATCGCCATGCACGCCATGATGAAGGATTTCACCCGCCTAACCTTCATCTCAATATGGTGCTTCATGGGTTTCTTCCTGTCCCTGCAATGGCTGATCGGTAGCAACGAAACGGCGACCAGCGGAAGCGGTCAACCTGCCTTAAACTGGTACGACACCTGCAAGTGGCTCATCTGGACGTGGTTCGGCTTGGATGGCACTGGGATTGACCGCTCTGATGAGTTCCACCCCATTCTGGGGCCAGCTCTGATGATTGCATTTGCATTTCTTGGCAATATCCTCTTCCTCACGATCCTGGTCGCGCTGTTGAGTAATACCTTCTCAAAGCTCATCGCTGACGCGCCTGCGGAGATCCAATTTCGACGAGCTGTACTCACCTTCGCCGGTGTGAAAAGCGACTCAATCTTTGCTTACCCCCCACCGTTCAACTTGATGGCCATCGCGATCCTCCTCCCGCTCAAGTCCGTTCTCAGCCCGCGGTCGTTCCATGATCTGAACATCTCTGTCATCCGAACATTGAACGCGCCAGCGCTCCTCATCATTAGCGCTCTGGAACGCCGCCGCCTCGCTCACCCCCGTCGCGCACGGTCGCAGTCTTTGCTGAACTGGAGCTTCAGTGGGTTCAACCCGCACGGAGACATTCAGGCCGTTTTCAAGGTGGAGCCGCCGCCCGGGGTGGAGCGAGAGCTGGAGGAATTGGATAACCTGAGCGATGTCGGCTTCGCGGAGAGTGAGCTCGGGTCACGAGTATCGTGGGATGTGAATAGGTCAAGATCGCGGCGGAGAATGGCGAGGAGAAGGCGGCCTGGGAGAATGGTGTCTCCCATTAGTGTAGTGTTCCCGTTGCCGAGTGTCCAACGGGCTGGGACAAACGAGTTTGAGCCGTTGTCCGGATCGCCTGCCAGGCCGTAGTTCCGTCAAGTGGTCAGTCACGGCACCTAGAATACCGACACATATTAAATGTTACGTGGCTTGGTTTGGGGACGGGGAGATAGGGTTACAGCGGCCCCGGGTAGGAACTGGCGATAACCCCCGGCGCGTCGGGCCCGGGGAAGGGATTACCAAAAGGAGATTTAATTGCATGCTGCAGGTTAGAGTCGTTGGCTAGATCAGAGCCTCAATACGAAAAGTACAAAGCCCGCGTATATTGAATGCTTGTCGGGCAAGAGCTAGACGCTTGTAGTTGGTCTCCATTGACCGCCTCTCATAGAGTTTGCGATTGGAAATTGCCATTTCTTTGTCTTTGCTGTTCAGATAATCAATTTTCACTCAAGCGGCGGTTGACAACGCAGCCCAGGTTGTTTATTCTCAGGGGCTGATCAGGTAAACTACTA